ACTAGCCATGCTAAAAGTATGAATGGTTCTACACCGTCTTCATATGGTATATTTACTTCCTAAAAATTTCTCCACTTAATATTCCAGAATAGATTGTCCAAGAATTTTGAACTTGGGGAGTTAAGCACAGAAAGAAGGTGGTCAGTTGGTTTAAGAGATAATGAGAAAGGACACTTATTGTATAACATTCAACTAGATTACAACAAACAATACAGCCATATAGGCCCCACCGCACTTCTTAGGCACTTAAGAGCAAAGAAGCACCAGTCATTTAAGTAATAAGTGAAATTAATCTATCTATACAACAACAACAACAACAAACCTAGTAAAATCGCACTCGAAAGTAGATCTCTAGACATTCCTATAATCCTATCTAAGGTCATATCCTCACAGAGATCCAAAAGTCCGAAGTCTTGTCTAATCACCCACTTCCAACTCTTTTTAGGTCTACCCCTTTGCGCTCTCCGGCCCACTACCAGAAGCCTTTCGCATCTCTGCAATGGGGCCTCAACACCTCTCTGCATCACTTGCCCAAACCACCTTTGCCTAGCTTCCCGCAACTTAGCCCCACAAGTGCCATTCCCACCTAGCCCCGAAAAAACTCATTATGAATCCTATCCAACTTTGTCTGCCCACACATCTACCGCAGCATCTTCATCTACGCCACATGAGTTGACTAAATTCGGAAAAACAATAATCAAGAATAAAAAGAATACTAAATCATAACTAAGGCAACTCGAATTAAAGTAAGACTTATTTTAAAGAATGAAAGATATCCCAGCCCAAGGCTCCAAGTTGGTCAGTTCGGCTTCCAGCGCCTTCGATAAATACTTGTAAAATACCCCCTTCGTCCCAAATTAAACTTCCCGCTTTGACTTTCACGGAGTTTAAGAAAAAAGAGAAATTTGTGGTTGTGAATTATGCATAGGAGAGATAAATAATGTGAACCACTCAATATTTACTTTAAAAAGAATGAGAAGTTTTTTTTGGGACAACCAAAAAAGAAAGTGAGAAGTTTTTTTGGGACGGAGAGAATATATATTTAGGTTATTCAACTTAATCAGCGTATTCAGTCATTTTGGGTTTAATTTCAGCAAATTCCTTCTGTCATTTCAACCATGTCAGCTAAATTTCACCATTCTGGCACAAGCTCGTCCGTTCAAGTAAATCTTACCTTCAATGCCTCTCTGCAAATGTATGCAATTTGGTACTCATCAAGTGGCTCATCAGTGACATTCATTAAATCTGCAACACTTCCACCCCCACAGTACTCCATCACAATCTGTTGCCAAATAAAAATGCTTCAAATATAAGTAAACCAAGCATGCATCATTTTGATCTTGCTCATACTATCATGATTTCATTGTTTTAGTACTGCTCATACAATCGTGATAAATTGAAACACTCCATTTGTAAATGCAAGTATGTGTTAAAATTATGGGACAATGCAATTGTTCATACCCAAAGGTACTCCTCTCCTTGGTAGCTCCCAAGGTATCGAACAACATTTGGATGACTGCACTGTTGCAACATTTCAATTTCACCACGAATTTCTTCATAGCCTTCCTCCTTTATGCATTAAATATTTTAAAAAGTTAGTCCATAGAACAGAAAGTATGAAATGAAACCAAACAGCCGATACAATACACACCCCTTCACTCAACGATATGACTTTAATTGCAACCAGTTCTGATGTCCTCAGATCTCGAGCTTTGTACACAGCCCCATATGAACCCTTCCCTGACATTGCAAATGCCTCCCACATTCAACCACCTTGTGTGTCAGTCAATTTAACAAATAACCAACTATACATGAAAAAAGTCAATCACGGGAATGACAGAAGTACAAAACCTAACATCATTCTAATCCAAACTATAAATCATTTAATGAACATACAGTTGGAAATAAATTACTTGTTGTCACACTAGTCAGTATGAGTTTCTGACATAAACAAAAATCTTCCATAAGGAGCCTCTACTAGACATTCACGATGGTCCTCTATCCAATAAGGTAGAGATCTGTTCATACTGAAGGTTTTCCCAGTAACATGTTAGAGCAATGAGCTCTAGAATAAGCTGATAACCGCATTTAACTTAATTAAGTGGTCACTTTTATTGCCAATTGCAGGAATCCTGCTTGAATCAGACTATAAAGCTAATGGTGGTGGTCAAGAAATCAAATTTACCAAGTTCATGGAGCAATTCGTACTTGGTAGAGGGATCTTCCCTGGTAATACTCTCTGGAATAGAACTCGAAGAGATCTTGCTCCCCCGTAATTCTTCCTCCTGTGTCCAACCACTTCCGCTTCTCCTCTGTTTAGATTGTCTTATCTCCCCCACAGCCTGCATACTAGCCACAGCTCTACTCATAGTGGATGATCCACTGGTTCCGCCGCTTCCACTTTTTATAGGCCTGGTCACCACTGTCCCCGAATCAAAATCCCTCTCCTTCACCACAAACGTCGAGAAATTAACTTCATCATCTTCCTCTTCACCCTCATCATCATCATCCTCAAATCTCCTCCCGGCGCTTCTCTTACTCCGATCCCAATACGACGCCGGTCCGGAGCTAGGCTTTCGGAACGGAGATGACGGGTTAGAATACATCGAGCCACGGTTGGTCTTGACTATCATAGTCCCGGAAATCGAGGCGGGCTCGCTGTCGGAATCGGAGCATGAATCAATTGGACCGCCGCCGCCGAAGTCCTTAGGGAGTCGCTTGAGTAGCGGAGGCAGCGAATCGTCGTCGTTCGGATCATCGACGACGACGACGTCCTCCTTGACGACCATCGTGGCGTAGAGGTCCGAGCCATCCGTTTCTGCGGGGTCACTTATGTGCTCCCCTTCGTCGTCCGCGGTGGAGTAGATGTCCACCACCTTCGGCGGCGGCGGTTTACGGCTGCGTCGAGTCGTCGGGAAAAAGTCCATCTCTCTCAGTTTGCGTTGGACTGACCCGCGAGATGTACGGCCCAGACCAGAGTAAAGCCCACTGACAGCTGTGGACACTGATTAGGGGGTCATCCCATGACACAGAAAATATACCGAGTATTACACTATGGGCCTGTTTGGGAATAGCGTTAGAGATTAACGTTAGCGTTTTGGATAAAATTTTAACGGTGCAGATTACTTTGAAAACGCTAACGCTAAACGCTGCCCGTAGATAGCCTTTTCAAAACGTTAACGCTAATAGCTAACGCTATTCCCAAACATGCCCTATGTTTGGAGGGAGGGAGAGAGAGGTAAAATAAGGTAAGATTAACACTGTGTTTGTTTGGAGGTAGGGGATGTAGAGGGAGGTAGGTTTAATATTCTACTTTGTTTGGTAACAAAAATTGAGATAGGTCAAGAGAGGTAGGTGGAGGTAGAGAGAGGTAGGATTACCTCTCAACAGTAGAATTTTGGTGACCGCCAATTTGGCAAAATATCACGGTAATAAACTCTATTTTCCGCAGCTATCCTTCACTTGATCGCCGTACATCTTCACATCGCCATCTTCTTCTTCCCATCGCCATCTCCAACAAGACAGGTATTCTGATTTTTTCACTTCAATTTTTCAATTTTTTTCGTTATGCCTTTGCGTAATTCCGTCGACCATGAAAATGGACCGGCTTTTGCCGGGTTTCCTCCATGAATGCTCAAAGATCTCGCCTTTTTCCTTCTGGGTTGAAATTTATTCTGGGTTTTTGTTGTTTGGCTGAACTTTTTTTTTCGTTCTACCTTTGCTCATTAAATCATTATTTCTTTCTGCACGGATTTTGCTTACTTCACTTCAATTTTTCACTTTTTTTTGCTTACTTCACATATTTTGGTTCTGCACAGATTTTTAATTTTACTTCACTTTTTTTGCTTCCTTCAATTTTGCTTTCAATTTTCTGCACTGATTTTCAATTTTACTTCACTTTTTTTGCTTCCTTCAATTTTGCTTTCAATTTCTAGTTTATGCTCAATTTCCACTTCAAGTTTTCACTCACTTTTTTTTCCAGTTTTCGTTTTTTTGTCCCTTTTTTCAGTTTTCATTTCACTCTTTTTTTCTTTTTTTGTGGTTTTTTTGTTCTTTTTTCTAGTAATATTTTCTGCTTTTTCCTACAATTGTGCATTTTTGAGTACTCTATTTTTGTAGTAAGAACATAATGTGAAGGTAATTTTATTTAAATACATCCTAAACAAATAAAGAAAAACAACAAGGATATTTTAGTAATTTTATTCTTTCCCTACCTCACGTTACCTAATAAACATCCAAACACAATTTTTTAATTCATTACCTTATTTTACCTACCTTCAATTACCTACCATTACCTACCTAATAAAAATTCTACCTACCTCCATCCAAACATACCGTAAAACTTGCCTTGTTTGGGGGAGGAAATCCAGATAGGTAAATGGAGGTAGGGGTGGACACGGATCGGGACGGTCCGGATTTTAGGTTGTCCCGCGTTTTGTCCCGTTATATATAAACGGTCCGGAACGGTTCAGATCACAATCTAATCCCGGTTTGTCCCATGAAATTCAGGATCGGAATAAAACGGGACGGATTCGGGTCGTCCTACTTTGTCCTAATCGCAAATATAAGAAGGGGAAGAGGGTGACATTTCATTCAAAAAAAAGAAACATCTAGTCATCCAACAAAAAACAATGACTGGAACGAGTCCAAATAAATTTCAAGCTCATGAAGTTAATTTAATTAAATAACTAATTAATTAAAGAATGAGTGTATTTGGATTTTGGACTAGAATTAGTATTATATATTAGTAGAGTAGATGAAACGAGACAAATGGGACGGATCGCTATAAATTTAAGCTGTCCCACTCATGTCCCATTTGATATTGGGATGGAACGGGTTCGGGACAAAAAAATGTCTCCCAATATATCGGTACAATTACAAAACGGATCCGGGATTTTTCGGGACGGTTAACGGGAACGGATTTCACGCCCACCCCTAAATAAATGGAGGTGAGGGAAGGTAAAGCACGTGAGGGAAGGTAAAGCTGTTAACAGTGGAATAGCTAAAATTTACGCCTTCCTTCCCCTGCCCTTCTCTTTTCTTCTCTTCCGTGTTTTTTTCCTATCTTCCACTGCGCTCTCCCTGGCCTCCTCCCATCCACGGTTCTTCTTCTTCTTCTTTTTCTTCTTCTTCTTCGGATCTCAAATCATCATCTGCCATGGCCGATCTTCATCTCCGGTAAGGTTTTTTTTACTTTTTTTGCCAATTAAATTAAGTATGTGTTTTTTCTCTCTTTTTTCTGGTTTTTTTCTTTTTCCAATTTTCTTTTTGTCATTTTTTTTTTGCTATTTTTCTGTTTTTATTTGCTATTTGTTAAAATCGAATCTTTGAAATTGATGCAAAAGAAATTTTTTTCTGTATTTTTTTTATGTTTGTTGAATTAGAAAGTTTGAAATTGATGCAAGGATTTTTTTTCTGTATTTTTTGTTGTTTGTTAAAATATAATGTTTGAAATCGATGTTAATTTTTTTTTTTTTTGTATTTTTTTCATCTGTTTGTTGAAGTAGAATGGTTGCAACTGATGCAATTTTTTTATTACATTTAACTTATAAATATATATCAAAATATTATTTTACTTAATTAAAATATTATATAATTTTATGTATAAGGTCAATTAGAATAGATGGAAGTTACTCCAAAAAACGAATAAAGAAAATCATGGCGAATTTTCTGTAGGAGCTTGAATTGAGGTATCGGAAAGGCCTGGGTCGAAACGGATTATAGCGGCAGCCATCTCGCCCGTCCACCGTCGTTTCGCGACTTCTCCGAACGCCTGGTTCCGCCAGTCCGCCGTCTTTCAATCACTTTGCACTCTGTAGCTCCCATTCCTTCAGGGCCTCAGGTACGTGCTTCCATTCAGTTTATTTTCACCACTTACGCAGTAAATCTGGCTTTTTTTTTGTGGGCGGAGGTTCTTAAGATGATCATTACTATTACTCTCCTTCAGAAGGGTATGCTCAATGAGTAGTGGAATTTCTATTATCATAAATTCCTATTCAGCTACTCAAATTAGGTAATGGATGAGGGCCAAATATGTCCTTGTTCTAGTTCAAGTAGAATCTTGAACCATAAAAGGCCTCAACTAGCTACAAGAGCTATAAAATCTTCCAAAGAACTTTTTTTCCAAGTTCACTAGTTTTTTTGGTGCTGATTTGCCAGTAACATAATGAGTATCAGATGGAATGCATTTTTTTCAATGGGATAAGTTAAATCGTTAAAGTTATTAACCCTATGTAAACAATGCCCACTCCGAGCCCCCAGTCGTTGAATTGCCTTGCATCCCAATACGGGATATTTCTTGGTATTTGTATAAATGTATACGTAGCATTTGTTATATTAAGTTGTTATACAAAAAATCATAATTGGTTGATCTCTTTCTGGTGAATATCAGTTCAATCTGTTCATTTTAGTGCATTTTTTTGCTCAGCAGTGCTACGTTTCTTCCCTTTGGCTCTGTGTAATGTGTAACTTGTTTTTTCCTTAAACACCTATGTTTCACCTTTTTCACACAAAAGAGATGGAAGAAAGAAATCAATCCAACTATTTGGATTGGTAAAGTCAACGAGTATATTCATTTTGCTTGTTTCTTTGGTCAGCTGTTGTAGGTTGGAATGCTAGGTGGTTCTCGTGTCCAACTCAAGGGCTGGCAGCGGGCTGCTGTTGCACTTGGTTCAGCAGTGGGGGCATTGTTGGACCCAAGAAGAGCCGACCTTATTGCAGCTTTAGGGGAAACCACCGGGAAACCTGCTTTTGAAAGGGTTTTGCAAAGGATGAAGAATAGTCCTGAAGGCAGGGTAAGGCTTTTGGCTTTTAACTTTTATCTGCGTTTGTGAGTTGGGGTCTAGAGGCGTAGAGAGGGGCAGAGGGCTTATTTTGAGATTTTCTGTGAATAGAATTATACATGGATTATGGACTTATGGTAGTTAATGATGACTATGATGGCGAGGATATACTAATCTGCTCGGAAAACTTCTCTGAGTTAAAATAATACATTATTTTAAATGAATAAAATAACATCTCCCTCGTCTTCCTCTTTAAACCCCTTCAAAACCCAATTCCAAAACATAGTCTTGGACTCTTGGTCTCCACTGGTAATATACGACAAAATATCTGCATGTTATGCATTTTTTGCTATTTGGTTTAGCTTGATGTGGCCTTGGTGAATGCTGATAGGTGAATCTGCGCATAATGTGCTACTGAGATCATACTGCTGATATTCATTATAGTGGTGCCAAAAGCCAATCAATTAAACTTTGTATGGTTTCATTTATGTTTTCCTGTGGTGCAAGTTTCAAAAGGCTCTCTATTTGATCTTTTAGTGCATCTTAAGCCAGCATTATGGCATGCATATTATGATTTCCTGTTTTGTTGGGAGGCTTTAAGTTCTAATACTATATGTGCTGAAGGGAGTTGTGGATCTTCTTGTGCGATTCCCTTCACTATCACTATGGCATTCTAATGTTTTTTTTCCAAGATTGACTTTGTTGTTGTTGGTGTGTGTGTGTGTGTGTGTGTGGGGGGGGGGCATTTCTTGTCATTCCTCTTTAATGTTTGCAGTTCAAGCCATTCATCTTAACATAGTTTAATTGCCTTCTCAGGCAATCTTATCGGAGCGTCCCCGAGTAATCTCTTCTCAAGTGGGCCATGCATGGGAACTGCCAGACAACACATTTGGCGCTGCGTACGCCAAGTTCATGGGATCAAGAAACTTCTCCCCTGACGACCGGCCGCCCGTCCGGTTCATGGAAACCGACGAACTGGCTTACGTGGCGATGCGGGCCCGCGAGGTCCACGACTTCTGGCACACCCTCTTCGGCCTCCCCACCAACATGGTCGGGGAAACGGCGCTCAAGGTGATAGAGTTTGAGCAGATGATGCTCCCCATGTGCATGATGTCTGTGGTGGGCGGCACCGCCAGGTTCAGCGAGAGACAGAGGAGGTTGTTCTACCAGCATTACTTCCCTTGGGCTCTCCGGGCTGGTCTGAGATGCACCGACTTGATGTGCGTGTATTATGAGCGACACTTTGGCGAAGATCTGGAGGACGTTCGACGAAGATTTGGGATCATTCCGGCTCCACATCCTACGTCCTAAACCAACTTGTGTGTCAACTTCTTTGAAAGAGATGCAGTTTCTCCATTTCTGTTCCCAATTCACAGCCATTTTTCTTCAATAATTATGGGGGGTTTCCTTTTGAAAAAAAAAACTAAAGTACGAGTAGAAAATAGAAAATATACCAAAATAGAATATTTATGTTTTTATTCCCAAAATAAGAGCTAAAATGTGTATATACTGTCAATCATGATCATATATACATTATCAAAAAGTATTATGAAATATCTATATACAGTGTTATATTATTACTGTGCAAACTCTTATTGTGAAAATAAGAAATATAAAGATATTATTTTGGTAATTTCTCTATTTTTTATTCTTATCCCACTTTGAAATGACTCAATGCTGTGGAACTAGATCACATAGAACGAGTTCAAGTGCAGGTGTGAGTGTGCGAAATCACTAAAATATAAAAAATCACGTGTCGATGCACCTTAAAGCGTTAGTTAAAAAATCTAAAAACATATATAAGTCTGTATATATACTTCAAAATTACTCATATTTGTAATAATATTTATTTCGAACAATAGTATTTATTTAGTTTGGTTGGAAAAAAATTAGTATGAAAAAAAAGCACCCCAAAAAATAGGAATTCCACATTTTTATAGAATTTGCAATGTGATATTGTGGCACTGTATATTGTCAGTTCATAATGGTTTTTGATATTATATATTGACATTATTATCATTGTAACTCCTATTTTAGGATTAAAAATATTAAACATTTATTTTATTATTTTCTCCATGTTTTACTTCTATTTTGGTACTTTTCCTAGTATGTAATGCATTTTTATTTAATTGATAACTAATGTGTCTAATTTGGTTGAAAAATTTAAACTGGACGAATATTTTAAAATTGAAAATAGATTTCATAAGATATAAGTAAATTTACTATTTTGTCACCAAATAAAATTTACTCTTTTTTCATTTGACCAAAAATAAATTTTATCATTTCTTTTCTATCTACAAAAGGGATGGATGAGCATCGCAGGCGCACCTAAATTGCTAGTTCGTGAATCACAAAATCATAGCGCAAGCACTAAGATTTACTAGATTGTGTTAGAGCCCCGCAAGCGCACCTAAAGCGCCAATTCAAGGATTAAGCGTCACCCAATTTTTTTAAGAAGAATTATGCTACCTAGGTGTGGAATAATTTTGTTTTGAAATTATACTCACTAAATTTAACTCTTCATGAGTAATGATGCAAAATTTAGACAATGAAATAGTGAAATACGAGTTTGCCTAGGTGGGATACTAAAAGTTCAAAGAAGTCTCTGTTGCAAGCATCACCCATGACGAAGCTCACTCGCAACGGTTGAGGTTCGTATAGGATGAAGAAGTGCAAGAGAAACTTCGAAGAACTGAAAAACCCCAACATGACCGACTAGTACAAGGCCTTGGGTACAACAACAACCCAGTTGGGTCCCACAAGAGTATGGTTTGGAGAGGGTGTGTGTACGCAGACCTTGGGTACAAAGAGTCACAAAATCTTCTGTGTCTACCAACTCAAAACTCATCATGGTGATATTAGAGCCATTCTTTGGGTGGCACAAAGAGTGACAATCTTGAAGCTAGGCTACTCATTTAATAACAATATATGGATCATGAAGAGAAGTTTTTTCAAACTATCAGCATACAAGTTCAACTTCTGTACCTCACAAAAGGTGCCAGCTCTCTGTCTTTTAACCCTCAGTCTGTCCATATATATCCACACTTCCTGCAGATGCTTGGTTTGCAGCGCGGTTGCTTCCAAAGTTCTTGCGATTTGATTCTCGTGCTATCCTAGAACCAAACTGTATACAGAAACATATAAATTATGATGAGAGGCTAAAGTGACACCTACCCATAACCTTAAGTTTAAGGCCACCAGCCTCTTACAAGCACACATAGAATGAGGAGGTGAAGATTTCAAAAAAAAAATTATATTTTTTTCCAAAAAAAAATTATTTGGTAGGAAGGAAATTATTTTTCCAAAAAAAAAAAAATTGTTAAGATTTTAAAATTGATATTTAAAAATATGTTTTAAAGATAATTTTAAACTATTTTTGGCAACATGTGGGCGGGTGGCGTAGGGTGGGGTGTTGGCATGAGGGGAAAGGTTAGGGGCGGATGAATCGATTGCCAAATGACGGAGGATGGTGGGGTGGGGGATAAGGGGCAGGGGGCTGGGGAGGGTATGGACGAGACTAGCAAGATAGGAAGGGGTGAGGGGGTAGGGGTTGCACGGTGGGACTGGGGTTGACCGGGGAGGTTAGGGTGGGAGGGGGCGGGGGCAAGGATGGGAGGGTTGGGGCATGGGGTGGCCGGTGGTGGAAAATGGGTTCAAGGGCGGGGAGCGAATAAGAATTTTTCTACCACTTATGTTACCAAACATGGGGAAATGGAATCAAAACTTTTTGGGAAAATATTTTCCACCCAACCAAACACACCCAATATATTTGAATTTGAAACACAAAAAACAGAACTCTAGTTAGAAGACTGATAATACATATACATTTGAATTTCAAAACTTGGTTTGGTTCATTTCGGGTGAAAATTTGTGCACACAACAAAACAAGCTGAAAGTTTTAGGATGAACACCTGGATTGCTCTTTTGGGCAGAGAAGCAGCTTCGGATAATCCAAGCGATCGGGCAATCTTCAAAAGAAAGGAGATGTCAATAGCATTTAGTGGAAAACAAGCTCACTTCAAAACTTTGTTTGAAACCAGGAAAATGAAACAAAATGCACAGGAAATTGTTGCTTTATGTTTGGTTTAGCCTTGGGAAATGCCAAGGAAAACAAAATATGATTAATGTTTTCAACTTTTCACATATATTTTTTATTTCTTAGTCTTTATATAATACAAGTAGTAATTATAATGATGACAATGATGGTGCTCGTGATGATGATGATGATTAATAATTATAATAGTAATAATAATAATTGAAAATTTGAAATAGATAAACAAAATGAGTTTCATAAATATCAAACATAAATATAGAGAGTTTGAGCACATGGTTTATTTTCCCTCACATTTTCTTTCCTTCCAAAAGCTGCTTATACATTCCTCTCTATTTTCTTTAACTAGTATTTTCTGAGTTCAAATGAAAGCTTAGGAGAAAAGTGATAATAAGTGATAATATCGATCACCATACCTAGCCAAACAATCTTCTTTTCTTTCTTTTTTGGACCAATTTTATAACCACATATTTACATAAAACACTAGTTGGAGCATTTCAGTGCAGGCTAAACATGTACTCCCTAATTAAGACATAGAAGAGTAGAAAAAGACCTCTCGCAAGATCATCTTATCCCCAACACCGCTTGGCTGGTTCAGGTCGGCAATCTCCCACAAGGGAATATCAAGCAATGCCCTTATGACATCCTCATCCAAGAAAGGAAACCTAGCCTGAGAATCATATATATTATATATAATCTGCACATCGGTAAGTAGAAAAAACTACTAAAAAATACTGCTTGATCTGCTGATATCACCTCTTTGCCATTGTCGGCAATGCATCTATCGTCTCGTCCAAGATTCCTCTTCCAAATCCTTTGCATGTCTAGTTTCATCTCCTCGCTAAGCCCTAGCCAGCTGTTTATTAAGCACAGAGTGAATTTACAATTTAACAGCAGCAAAAGACACATAAAGCCACAGTTACAAATAAGAGACCATTAAGTCATTAACAGTGATGTACTACTCCATCCCTTTCTATTAAGTTGCTATATTTACTTTTTACACAGTTTTTGAGTAAGTATAAATATGGAAAAGGAGGGGCTTGAGTCATTTCCAGAAGGTAATATGCCAAAAATTGTCTTCGCACTCATAAATTTAGTACTCCCTCCATCGCAAATTAAATCACCTGTTTCAGTTTACGATGTTTGACTGAAGTTATTTTTAATACAATTCATTTAAGAACTGAGGTAGAATTAAAAGATAAAGTTTACATACTTAAAAACTACATTAAAAGTTCTACGCAACAAGAGGTGACCTGACTATATTTTTTTATCAAATGATTAACAAAAATATAGTTAGAAAAGTGAATAAAGTAGAGAGTAAACAAAAATAAGAGAGAGAGTAAATAAGAAGCGGGGACCGAACATTTAGTTACATCCTTAGAAGAAAAGTAGAGCAACTTTAAAAAATAGGGGAGGGAGTACTGTTTTACTATGGCAAACAAAAAATGTTACATAGGGTAATGCACAACCAGTAAAACTAAAATGTTTAAAGCCCGTGAGATTATTAATGACAGAATATTTCAATAACAACACGGCCTCTAAACTCACCTTCCGTTTCTGAACTTAGTCCTATGCCGGCCATATCCAGCACACTGCTCATCTGCACCAGAGCCTACCAGTAGAATCCTGGCCTCAGACTTGTACTTGACGCGTTCACAGATTTCAGCAACACTACTGCTCATGTTGGTTTGATAAACCCAACCATCACCACCAGCTGCCAACCATAGTGCTATTCCTATATTCAGGTCCTAGGTAGATTTTAAGGAATTACTTCTACAATTGACATTAATGAATAGTTTTGATGAACAATAGAACAGGCTGCTTCGCATTGTCAGATTTTCTCCACCTCATGGAAGTATCTAACCAAACCACCTCATGGAAGTTTATCTAAACTTATTTGGAAGCTTACGGCATATCTACTTAAAAAGTCGACCACACATTTATTTTTGAGATTTGAGAAAAGCCATTTACAGTCATTAAGAGAAAACTACTTCAAGTATGAATCCTGAATTAATAGTTTAAAAAACTGAAATATAATATTATACGGCCATTACATTCTTTTTCAACATTTATTTCCTGTTCATCTAAATTAGGAGAGGTCACTAGTCACGAAGAAGAAAGGTATGAAAATTCTTAGAGCGGACAGCGTAATAGTCCCAAGATATGTACCATGAAGGTCTTTGCAGGATTTATAAGTGACATGACATGTTTTGTTTCAGATGTTAGGTTCTGTAGATCAGCATCAATTTCTACAAGTTTCCATCTGAAATTTCAACATTTTTACAAGTCAAAGGTCAAAGTATTCAAAAAGTTAGACAAGGACAACACACATTACATATAAATAAGAATAAACAGCTGTAATGCAATGCAAAACAATTAAGCAATAGAAGATCACACATGGAATACTTAGTTCAACTCCAACAACCCAGGAAAAGATGCAACCCTCCAATTATATGGGTGATCTAATGGGATTTTCAAGAAGGAAAATTCATAGGTTAGCCCAAAGTATTCATTTGTTGCCTTATTCAATCTAAATGCATCATCAACTATTTCAGCAGGCCAGGATAACTGTAT